TATTTACAGAAATCAATTATGTATGCTCCGTTTCCGATCTTAATAACCTGCAATCTCAATCTTATACTCCCTCCGTCCCGCTAGAAGGTTCCCGTGACCGGTTTACAAAACTGATGATAAAACAACTTAATCCATATTCACACTCTAATTATTTTTAGTAAATAAAATTAACATATCCATAAACTACATTAAAACCGCTACAAAGCCTGATAAAAAATGTAAATTTGATAAAACTTTGATTTATAACGTAAAAGATTAAAAATGATTTAAGTTGATCATGTGAATAGTGAACGAGAATCTTCTAATGGGACGGAGGTAGTACTTACTACGTACTACTAGAGACGTCTTCCTTCTTTTATTTGTTACATTTTTTCAGATGTATTTTATTTTTAAAAAATATTCAATTATGTTTGTCTTTTATATTTTCCTACTAAAAACCAGTGTCATGTGTACAAAGGTCTCAATAGAGTACAATATTTTTTCTCCTCCTATATATACATTACACATATAGAGCGCGTATATATTGTATAGCCACAAGATCGACCTAAGCTAGCTAAAAATGGCTGCGTCTCCTCCTCCTAATCGTCAACCAGCACTAATGTCTCGTAAACGTTGTTATTTGATCCGAACTAGGTTCGCTTACCGGTTCCTGCGAGCGTTGATGAAATTGAACCGCCGCCAAAACCCGTCCGCCTTCGTTTCGCCGTCACCGGGTGCCTCGAACGAAGTAGCACACTTCATCAATCGGCGGTACCGGAGCGTGAGGCGAGCCGCGGACCTCGCCTTGGCTTCTGCCGCGGGAAGCAAACGCGCGTGGAGCCGCGCGAAGCTTCTAAATATTCACTCCAGAAGATCAGGAAGGGCGATCGCTGCCGCCGAAGACGGCTACCGGAGTCCTACCGGCGATCAAGCGATGACGGAAGAGCTCCGGAAGCTGGTCCCGGGCGGCGAGGTTATGGATATGCGCAGCTTGTTAGACGAAACTGCCCATTATCTTAGCTGTCTCATGGCGCAGGTACAAATCATGAGAAACATGGCTGATGTTCTTTCTTCAATTCCTAGCTAGCTAGAGCTAGCTTTATTTTATTTTGATTTGAGTGTAATTTAATTTATCATCGGGAGAAAAAACAAAATAAAGACTAATTTGTACTCCCTATTATTTATTTCTAATGATACACTAGCTTCATATATTTATATGTGAAAATGATCCTTCATTAATTATTTATTCACTCCATCGATCTCACTTAGCTTTAATTTGATTCACCTTAATTCCCTTTTTTGTATCATACTCTATATCTCAACTTTAATAAGATGAAGGTAGTAATTAAATTAAAGTTCTTCCTTGATTGGTTCACTGGTTATCCATTTTTTAAGTTTAAATATCAGCGAGTAATTAATTTAATCATAAATCAACTATCAATACTAACTTAAACACCGAGTAATTTAGTATGGAGGTACTAGTTTTTAATTCAATTTGTGTAGCATTTATATTCTAATCGAATTGGTTGACGAATATATATATAATCTCTCTTAATTAACAACTAAACACAAAAAGAAAATTAATTATTACGGGGTATTTTTTTACTCTAGGGGGGTCTGGGGAAGGGGACCTGAGGGGTCTGGAGTAATCAGGGTTGAAACTCACTTCATTGAGTTTCAAACCCTTATGTGCCTAGTGGGTTTTGAACTCGAGATCTCCCACTAAGCACGTGGTATTGTATTATGTAAACTATTCAAAATGGATGAGAGTTTGGAACCTTCGTTTATGATTTTATTTATTTTAGGTGTGTTTAGAATTGATTCTAATTCTTTGAAGTTGATTTTTCCAACTTCTAAAAACCCGTTTTTGAGAGTGATTTAGAGCACTCAAGAGTAGGTCTTCATTTTCATGTGAACACTTGGTTGGTATAGGACGAGTTACAGCCTTACAGCCTACAAAAAAAACGATCGAATTATTGCCTTATTGGAGCTAAGCTAACATGTGGTCAAAATTAGATTGCTCGTGCTCATTGTAGGAATGCTTGATTTTATACTCCAAAAAGGGATGATCTTCTCGACCGTGATTCACGGTTCGATGTGACTTCAGTGCAATCATGCAAGTCCGAAATTTAACGTTTTGGATGATAGTTATGATACGAAGTTTCTTTGTACTTCGTTTGATCATTAATGTGGAGCATTATTCTTCTAAAAGGTTTAATCATAAACTTCGGACCCCATGCTCGATTCGACAAGACATTTAAGAGGTCGTAAGTCATGGTGACTCAGTCGATCCAATGATGGTAGATCTTGTATTCGTGCACACCAGAGGTTCAGCTCATCACGCAGGAATTGTAATCTCCACACGACCGCTGCGGGATTCGACACTTAGTTATTCTTCCACTTTCCCTCCACGCAATATGCACGATTATTGTGGAACATTATAATAATGCACGATGAGGACCATATAATTATTTCAATATTTTAGGTCCCTCCGCTAACATAGAAACTCGTTTATCATATCTTGAGGACGGCTTTTGTTTGAAATTCATTTTAAATCTAGTGTAGTATGTGCTCGTGAAAATGTCAACATTTTTTTATTGAAAGTAAAAGTGTATAAAGTTTGCTTCTTTTTTATTGGATGAAAGTATATAAAGTTTGCTTATCATATATAGTGTCTTTTGTCTTCCATCATCAGTTTACCAGTGAACGTTTAGATAGAAAAATTGAATGATAAAACTCATGAATCATTTTTATCATTCAATCTGTCTTTTTTACAACCACACCCTATTGGTAAATTCTTCAAACCAAAAAAATTGAAGATAAATTTATTACAGAGTATAATATACGGATTACTACGTAACACATTTCATCATCAAATGAAATCATCACCGTTAACCCGTCCTGTATTAAGAATTATTGACATGTTTTGTTATTTTAAATGAAACTGACTCATATTTCAAATCATTATAAAGATTCTTTATTTGTAAGTATTACTCATGTATTTAATCATTTTGGATTGTGAACAGATAGTTTCGAGAAATTCAAACTTGGAGTCTTGGAAATTGGAATGAACATAATCTGTCAAAAAATATACTCTATAACTCTATTTATTCTCGCACACATAAGCACAAATAAAAAATCTTGTATAGAGTCATATATGTTATGTGGATCATCACCACCATACATTTTTAGTGAGGATTATGACTAATAATATGTGTGTTATCCTCTAACATCGCGTACTCTTGTCAAGTATTTGGGTTTCTCGCACATTGTTAATTGTGTCATTCAACATATATTCGTTAGAATGGAGAAAATTAAGGAGGTCGTTCATTGGCGGAAATTTATTTTTTCCGTCGATGATTTTTTTTGAAAACGGGACATGGTATAGTATACGTAGTATTTAATTTTTTTTACGTCAATACAAAATTTACAAAACACATGACTATTTAAGACATGATTACTATGTATTCAAATTTTATCAACAAAATACACTTCAATAATGTAATCATACTAGAATATATACTAAAAATTTTGAACATCGACTAAAAAATTACTCCGTGCTATAAAAGTTTTTGGGGTTGTACAAGAATATTACTAAAAACGACAATTGGATAAAAACATAACATTTTTTAATTTCCAAAAGAGAGACTAAAAACGAATATAAGGACTATTATATCCTTATCAGGCCCAATTGACCCATACAGCTGTAACCAGTTACAATTATCCAATCCGACAATTACGGTTACTCAATGTGCCATTTACGGTTATCCAATCCATAGCAAAGAGGATCGATAACAGTGAATAGGCGGAGGCCTGACGTTAATCGGCGGGGGCAATACCAATCTCCTAAGCTCCAATTGTGTAGATCTCCAATCGCATAGTTCGATCTTCAACGGGAGTGAAGCGCTCCCTCTTTGGTCAATAGTTATATGGAGGGTATTTTAGCCTTTTCAATTGTAATTTATCTCTTTTCGGTTCATACAAAAGTTTAGTCCCTTTTTTGTGAATTGAGATATCCATCGAATTACTTTTATCATTCTTTCAAAGTTTTTTCTTAAATATTATTAAAATATATTTGCAGATAGAACCATGACTAAAATATCTTTACTAGAATGTAAATTTTAGAAAACCGATATATGATCATCACTAAAGTTATTATTATGATTTCTATAATATAAAAAAATCATAATTTTATCCATTATCTCCTTTATTTAGTGAGATATCCTGTCATTATTTCAATATCACATTCCCAATTAGTTCTGGGACTTTAGAATGCGCGAACCAACCAAGAATCAGAATACCGAATCGGAACAAATTGTTATAACCCGGTTCGGTTTCAATATTAATTAATTATTTATTAACGATTCGGTTCCTATTTTTATTAGCGGTTCAACTTGATTCTCGATTCCTATAAAAAATAATTATGCGGAACCGTTAAGGAACGATTATATAATAATTAAGTTTTTATTTATTACTTAATAGATAACTTGATATTTATTTTAGAATATATATTTTAATATTTATTTATATATTAAGTTAACTAATTTAGATCAGTTAATAGAGTTGATAACTTAATAAGTATTTAACGGATTTCTCTTGTAGTGAATGTCTTGTTTTGTTTTCTTTATTAAAAAATTTAATTTAATATGTAGTTATGTTTGAAAATTAACTTTTGAAATTTTAAATGGTGGTAACCTTGAACGCATGTGTAGTTTTTATAATTTCAAACGTTGAATGTCTTTATATACGCGGCACAAATTTAGTAATGATTTGTAGGAGATTTTAAAAAACTTAGGAATTAAAAAATGACTAGAAGCGAACCCTTAAGGTTTAGTTCGGTTCCATATTGGTTATATAAATAACCTGTAAGAACCGAACTGATATTAAAAATTGAGATTTTTTTAAATGATTCCACATATTTTACCTAATAACTGAACCAGTGTGAGATCTATTCCCAATTATAGACCCCTTATATGAGAAATCACAGTCATCGGGGTTGCTATCTTTCTAATTAAGTGGTGCTTTTTGAAGACTCCTCCATGGTGACCCTAGCTAGCAATAGGTATGGGTTTGTACGCCTAAAGTATATGTAGAAATGCACATATACGTACTCTCATATTTCTATATATGACAAAATCTATCACTTTAACTAAATAAAATAAATTTTAAAAAACTCCAAAAATGAATTATAAATTTAAAATCCGAAACTCAAAAAAAAATTAGAGAAAACTATCAGATAGGCCCTCGTACTATAGCCAAAACGTCAATTAAGCCCTCGCACTTCAAAAACATCCAATTGAACCCCTGAACTCTTTAAAAATGCTCAATTGGGCCGATTAGCCGGTAGCATCTCGGTTTGCCGGTTAACAACCCGCATGGCAGCCTACATGGCATTTTTTCATTTCCCTTTTCTTTTTCTTTTTTCTTTTTTCTTTCCTTTTTCTCTTTTGTTCTTCTCTTCCCTCTTTCTTCTTGCTCGCCCCAACTCCCAAGTCACGACCTGTCCTCTTTCTTCTAGCTCGCCCCAAGTCACCACCTTCTGCAAACATGACCGCCACCACCAGAAATCCATCACACTTGTGCCGGTGAGTCATACTCCTCTCCATTTCTTTCTCTCCATTTCTTTTTCACTCTATTTCTCTCCTTAAAAATAATAATTAAATCCCATCTTTTATATTTCCCTACCCCACCATTCTCCCATCTCTCTATATATCTCTCATACCGGAGAAGTCCAGTAACTGGAGAGGAGCAAAATTCTGTGCCGCCGGTGGACTTCACCGCACCCAGACGCACGCCCTTCACTGCACACTATCACTGCATTGTCGCCCTTCAATTTACTTCAGAAATCTGACGAAATCCAACTCCGATATCCGACGAACTCCAACTCCAGCGGCAGCCGAAATCATCAGATATGGCCGCCGCACTTCCCGACGGTGGCGGGTGCAGTTACCGGTGGTGAAGGCAAACCTTGAATCCTCCCTATTTGAACAGGCATCTCTCGGATAAAAGAAATTGAAGAAGGAAGATGGTGCAGGGCAGTGAGTTCGGTGTACAGACGCTGGCGCAAGGACGGTGCCACAGTGTTGCGTGGAAGAAGTCTAGAGAGGGGCTTGCGCAGAAGAGAAGTTAGAAAGAGGAAAAGAGACGAGGAAAAGAAAGGAGAAAAAAGAAAGAGAAAAGAAAAGGAAAAAAGGAATAAAAACGAAAATGGAAATGAAAAAAATGCCACGTAGGCTGCCATGCGGGTCGTTAACCGGCAAAGTGAGATGCTACCGGCTAATCGGCCCAATTGAGCATTTTAAAGAGTTCAGGGGTTCAATTGGGTGTTTTGAAGTGCGAGGGCTTAATTGACGTTTTGGCTATAGTACGAGGGTCTATCTGATAGTTTTCTCAAAAAATTATTTTTCTATTTTGAATTCTAAATTTAGAACTTATTTTTGATTTTATTTTAAATTTATTTTATTTTTCTAAAGTTAATAATGGTAAATATGCTAACTTATAGGAACATTAGATATATTTTTACAATCTTTTAGAAGTTCAAGTGTATATTTGCACCTTCACATATTTTTGAAGGATATATTTCACTACAAAAAAATTACGGGATTGACACAGAATTTGGCACGGATTTACCGATTTTTCGTGCCAAATAACTCGTGCCAAAGTGATTTTGGCACAGATTTGGCATATCCCTGCCAAAATCCCTGCCAAATCTCTGTCAATCCCATGTTTTTTTGTAGTGTTTGCACCTTTCCCCTTCTTGAGATTATTTTATGAGAAATGTATATATTACCTCCGCCGTACCTGGTTACTGAATTATGTGATCAATCCAAATACATAATAATTTTTATTTTATATATTTGACTTTTATCAAATTTGTTTTTTTGGGACTTTATAAAGCTTTTAGGGAAAATTACCGAAATAGGAGTAAAAAAGTTTGAAAATTCCAATATAGGATTGTTATGTTTTTATTCCCAAAATTGAAGTAATTACTGCCAAGTTTGGAAAATATTGTCATGTTTAAAGTTTGGTACTGTCAAAACATGACAATAATTAGTCCTATTTTGCGAACAAAAATATGATAGTCCTATTTTGGAATATACAAACGATTTTAGTCCTATTTTGGGTAATTTCTCAAGCTTTTAGTGTTATTTTAGATGTACATGCATTCTTATAAAAAGTCTTACAAATTAACGAAAATATGTGACATCATCACATTCTTTAATACATTACATCACTTTTACGTCAAATGTAATTACAACAGGAAAATCGCTTGTTTGTATGTTTTTTTTATAAGTGTTGGGGTATACTACCCCGGCCTACTACTGTTCAGAGGTCCAAGACACCGCTCCGGTACAGAGCCCAACCGGCGAGACCCATTTAGACTCGCCGGCCCATTTAGGCCTGCTGCGGCCCATTAGTGCCTTTTCGGCCCGTTAGCCCCTTTGGCCCATTAGCAAACCCTCCCCCATTTCCTATACATAGGGAGGAGGTCTAAATTTGAGAGGATGACTTCTTTCCTCCCTACTACTTCTTCTTAGCTTAGCAACACAAGCTCCATTAATGGAGGCTTGAACCTTGTATTATGTAAAATGGTGAGGAGAGCATATTAATGAGAAAAAGCGGGCTTGGACGTTAGCCTAAAAAGTCCTGTGGTTTTCTCCCTTTCCGGGTTTCCACGTAAAAATAGCTAGTTCATACACTTTTATATATTTATTACTTTTATACCGAATCCATCGTCCTTAATATCCGAAGTTTATGTTGGACTTCCGGATCTACAGGATTAAACCTCAACATTGGCACCGTATGTGGGAAACAGATCAAAAAGCATACGTGTTTTCTGATTCTACAGATTTTTTGATGCCAAAAGCTACGAATTACAGCAAGAAATCAAGGAAAAAATGATTCCTAAAAAATTAGAATGGAAAAAGGAATTCAAGATCCTGGAAAACCGGAGACTTGACGGAAGGTGCAGCCGCCTTCACCGTCCATAGTGGCCGCCACCAGCCGGAGCCCGGATGCCCTTGCTCACAGGAACTCGTTTCTGCTCAAAGGTGGGAAACGTGGGAACCAGCTACTGCCTTGGGAAATCTGAAGAAGATAGAACATGGGGCCCACGTGTAACACCGAACCCGAATTTTTACCCAGAGAAAATTTTTTCATCAAGTACATGGTTAACGAAGGTAAATCAAGACTAGAGTAGCCTTGAGAAAGATAAAATTCTTGTCTTAAATTAATAAAGGATTACTAATCAGACGCGGGACCCACATCGGGAGCGGGGACCACCCGTGGTATTTTTAGCGTATAAGAAAATTAATGTTGATCTAAATAATACCATTTTGATAGTAGGAATGGGTCGTGAACCCCATTGATATAAAGAATGACAACTGGACGGCCAAGTGGGTCGGGGTCACTATCCGATAATTGCGAGCCCTTAATTCTCGGACTATTAATAATTCGGAAGGCTATTAATTAATGATAGGAGAAATATAAATATTTTAAGAATCCAAAATAATAGGTTGATAAATATATGATTAAATTGGTACGTTAAAGGAGGGTACTTTTGGAGGACCCTACCTTGAAGATATTTTTGTATGAGGACAAACAGATAAGATTTTATCTGCTCATACATTTTGGACCACTTAAAAATAACATTTTATTAAATTGTCACAAAATATAAAACCGCATGTTAAGTAGTGAGAAATGACGAGTGAATTCTCGATGCAACGCGTTCTCATTTTTACTGTTACTTGAACAGTAAAATGCACGTTGGGCCCATACATGGGCGGGGACCATCCGATATTTCTGGGACCACATATTATATTCATCTTGGTCTAGATCATATTCATATGATGGTTTATATTTATGTTTAGCCATAGAGTTGGCCGTTTGATCAAAAGCAATCCCATTATCGGTATTGGTAATTTAACAGATAACAACCCGAAATAAGGTCCGAGAACCATGAAATTAAAGTTGGGTAATATATATTCATTCAAGAGTCCAAGATTAATTGGAAGAATGATATATATTTTATTTGATCCGATAAAATGAAATTTAATTAAAACAGTCTGAAAAATACAATTTTCGGGACAGAATGTACCTTTTGGGTCATAAAGGGATGACCTCCCACATGGGTGGGGGGCAACCCACTTGATGGATGACGTACCCGGGGGGTAGCTTATCCGAGGGGTTATTGCGGAGAATAAATAGAGATTATATTGCTGAGAAAGAAGTGAGCGTATTTTGCCTCTGGGTTACAAATGGGGAAATGGGATGCTATTTATAGTAGTAATAAATGCCAGATAGGGACACGTGTCAAGCATCCATTGGCCGATGGGTCACCTCAACTGGTTGGCGCTGGCAATGCATGTGGCCGCATTTAATGCGGCTGTTGGATGGGACGTCGTACTTGGTACGGTGATTCAAGCGCATGTGGAGCGGATATTATGTCGGTAAAGGTGTCCTCGGCTGTAGATGATTGGCCGAGGGCTCTGAGTACCGGGGACCCCCTTTAGTGCCGAGGGATCTAGGTGCCGAGGGCTACAGATTTTTCCGTTTTCTTCCAGTGATTTTATCCGCTTGAGCTGGTCATTCTGTGAGGGTTTGGAGCCTTCGGCCAGGGGGCCGAAGGCACTCCCAGTGTGTCATGTGGGTTTCTTAATGCTTGGGGCACCGTGATTTGGGCCTGTCGTGCTTCCTGGGCCTGTTGGGCCTCCATTAGAATAGTAGGAGTCTATGGGTCGGGGGTTCCTGGGCCATATACTCCATCAGGAGTCCTTCACTCCTTTTGCCGAAAGGTACTTGAGGGAAAAAGAGTAATCTGTGCTTGTCCTTTTGGTGTTGTTCCGTTGTAGTTTGTGGAGTTTGTGAGTAGTTTGTTGTGTGCATGTTTCAGCCGAGGGCAGTCCCTCAGTTACCCACATTCCGGGACTTGAGGATCATGCTCGTTTGTTGTGGGAGTTTTTGACATTTCATTTTTTGTGTTTTGAGAGATTTTTCTGAAGGGGTCCTCCAGTCCCCCACTCCTTGAGGCACTTGCAAAGTGGTGAAGAGGAGTAGAGTAGTGCCTGCCTGCAATATGAAGCTGAGGGGTGACGCTTTTCATTTCATTTTGGGGGGATGCCTCTTTAAAAACCTCATTGGAAAAAACCCTGTGGGAAAAAATTCCAATGAGGGAAAAAGAGTGCACCGAATTCCCCCAATGATGAGTCGAAAAGGTACAACCCTGGCCTGAAATGAGTGGCCATTTTTGTGCCGAAGGCTATCTCTGTCTGAACTCTGAAGGCACGCGTGCTGATTTCCCGAAGGGTTCCTGTTGTTATCCTGAGAGATGCCGAGGGGGGAGCCCCCGAATTATGAGAATGAGGGCGTGATGAATGTGGGTAATGTTTCCGGTGTTACCGAGGGGTCCCTTGCTTGTTAGTGAGTGGGGGCACCTTTTGATGAAGGCGTGCTCCCCCGGGGGCTTCGTGGTCCTCAATGTGTTTGAGGGCCGATGGTTCCCGAGGGGTGTGCCCGTTATGAAGCCGTGGGCTTCTGAAGGAGTAAGCCCGAAGGCCTTTGTGATGTAGTATGAGGGGCATAAACCGGGAGCATCTCTGGGTAAGTGTACCCGGGGGCTCCTCTTGATGAAGCGGAGTGAAGTAAAAAGCCCGGGGGCTAGTTTCTCGGTTGATGAAGGAGTGGTCTGCTGAATATAGCCGGGAGCTCCCAGAATATAGCCGTTGTAAATATAGCCGTTGAAATACCTAACGTCAAAAATATAGCCGTTGGGGGGGCTTCCACGTGGTGCGTGTTCATTGGCCGCCCGTGGGCGGGCGTCACCGATTGGGCAACTTGTCGATTGGCAATGAAGACTTTGTACCGGAGGCCCGGTTTTCAGGCCCAAGCCCGGATTTGGGCGCCTATAAATACCCCAAGGCCAGGCCACTTCCCTTTGTGCGATTTCAGTGTAGCGAAGCTCTGCGAATTTTTTCTAGAGAGAGAAACACCTGCCCTCGATCTAATTCCCGTTCCAAGGTCAGTTCCCAACTGCTCTTCTCCTCTCTTAGTTAGATGTGCACTGTGTCCTTAGAGTAGGAGTTAGAATTCCGTAGGCAACCCTTGGTGTAGAGTACCGTCCTTGTAGCGTACCAAGATGTCGTCCCAGAGCGATTCTCAGGACATCTCGAGGGATCCTTCGATTGAGGATGAAACCGTCTCCGATGTGGAGTCCTCCAGTGAATAGCCTTCGGTGGGGCATGATGTTGCTGTGGCGATGGAGTTGCAGAGAGCCCTCGTCGCTCAGGTGGAAGCCGAGGGCTTCGAACAAGAGTGCGAGGATGAGGAGCTGGCCCTCGCCTGGCAATCGGCTGAGGAAGAGGCGCAGAGAGAGAGAGCGAGGGTCACCGTCGCTGTTCTCCCCCCTCGCGACGCTGGTGAGGCCAGCAC